TGGTAATTTTGGACTCACTTGGTGTTTGACTAGGATAGTATCTTATGATTTAGAAAGAGAAAAGAAAGAAACTGAAATTCCCTCCGGCTTTACTTACAACTCCCTCAAACCATAAGTACTTGTTTTACTTTTCTGTTTGGGATGTCTACCATCCGTTTTCTTTGAAAGTAATTTCTTGATTCATTTTACATGCCAAAAGAGGTTTTAACGGATAAATATATCATTCTTCTCAGTAGACCTTTAACCTCTACTTTGTTCTTCTGCAACACAAAAGTCAAACTCTGATCACAATAATTCCCTACAGGTATTAAACAACTCTTATCTTGAACTCTTCTGTTAATAAATCTCCCAAATCAAAAAGGGACAAACTAATTGAAATACAGGAGTATCTCTGAAGGAGGAAGAAAGGATCATAGTGTTATATAGTTGATGCAAACTAAAAGAAATCATCTTTTTTGTCCCTTCATAGAAAAATCTGCAACAAGACAAGATAAAGCTCACACTTGTTATGAAACCTTCCTCAATCCCATAGATAGAAGATTATCTTATCTTCTCTTGAAAAGTTCAAAGGAGCTAACCTATATGATTAATCAAAAAAGAGATGGGGCGGGGTGTTTTTGGGAGCTTACCTATATGGAATATGCTGATGAGTGGTGGAGTCCCTATACTTCTTGGCCAGCCCAAAATCAATTACATAGACCTATATGTAACCAATGGTAGTAAAGAATCAATAATTTCCCTACCAGCAACAGGTGGATGTATAGCAACCAATAGCTTTGATCCCAATACCTGATTTGCACGTCTTCCTAATCCCATCAAGAAGTTGTCTGGTTTTATATCTCGATGAAGAAAAGATTTGGCATGGACAAATTCAACTCGATTAATCTGAAAATTGAGTACGATGAAAACAGGTTTATAGATAGTTAACGAAATAAGTAACAAGTGCAAAACTTCACACCTACCATCTGGTCTGCAAGCATAAGAACAGTCTTTAAGGACAGCTTCCTGCTGCAGAAATTGAAGAGATCTTCAAGACTAGGTCCCAGTAAATCCATCACAAGGACATTATAATCTCCTTCGACTCCAAACCATTTTAAATTGGGAATTCCAGCTATCAATGTCAAAAAAATTCCAACTGATAAGGACAAGGTATAAACGTCGTATAAAAGAAGCAATAGTAACCAACAGGAGAATGAGAAATTACTTCCTCCTTGTAGTATCTTATACAACTTTGATTCATATAATAGTTGAGGATGCTTTGTCTTCACATTTTCCTGAGTAACAGAAACAGAAGAAGTATTTCAATCACAATGACAAAAATGTTCCACCAATCTTCGAATATAAATAGGACTTCGAATACTGATAAGGACAAGGTATAAACGTCTAGTGTTCTACAAGTTAATAACTATTTCAATATCATGTTATGTTATTAAGATCCTACTAAAAACCAGGGGGTAAAAGAGCTACCTGGGAATATCCATTTACTTTGCTGGTGTAAATATTATATTCAAGATTATGCAGCTTCTAGATCTAAATGCGAGTGAGGAAAAAACTAAAGTATTTCATACTAACAAATAATGAGAAATACTCCAACTTTTAACTAATAGCAGCTCAAAATCCTTACTTAAGCAATCAGGAAGCTACAAAAATACAGAATTATACTAAAAGGTACGTGCTGAATGTTAAAAATTTGGAAAAAAGGAAATGAAAATTCAATATTTACCAGCTTAACTCCAACCTCCTCATTAGTCTGAACATTAGTCCCTGAAAATGACAAAATTATAAGTATCCACAAATGAAAAACAAAACAAAAAAATTAATTACAAAGAGCAAAATTGAAGAATGTGTATACCGAGGTAGATCTCACCAAAGGAGCCGCTACCGATTTTCCGGCCCAAACGAAACTTATTACCAACACGAGGCTCCATTAATTAGAGGTTCGATGATTAATTGGGAAAATAATTAAAAGATACAAACCCAGTTATAAATAGGAAAACTTTGAATCCACAAATTAATCCACAAAAATGGATCCAAAGAAGAAAATCGGTACTATTAGGTTTATCTTATGAAAGAAATGAATGGATAAAATATGATTTAATATTTGCAGATTTCAGCTTTTTGTCTTGTTGTTCCCTCGGAGGTCATGGCATTGGAGCAGGAGAAGAATCATCTTTTAATCTTTTACATTACTGCTTCAGCTTTGCTTTTGATCCAATTTGAATTCATCTCTCTCTCTCTCTCTCTCTCTCTCTCTCTCTCTCTCTCATCTTCTTCTTCCTACTGCATTTTACGTTTTCCCTTTTTTTTCGCGGGTATTGAATTAAGACCCAAACTCCGTTATTCCATTTTTAACCTGACTTTTGTCAATTAATTTTGCCTTAATCTCAAATTACTTAGATAAATCCTTTATATTCAGCTTTATCATCTTACTTTGATAGTAATTAATGGAAAAAATCAGAAATAATATACATTTAAAGTTGATAATTTAAAAATAAACGAAATTTAATCACTTTTCATATAAAAATAAAATATGTCCGAAGACATTTCAGCATATTGTACTGGAGTTCAAATTTTTCACATATAAGATTCCATCGTAATATGCTGGAGTGCCAATATAATATGCTAGAAGTTTATACGTAGGAGTTCCATAATCCAACATATTATACTGGAACTTTCTGTTTCAACTAGAATATTTTTTGTCCAAATTTTATCTCCCCATAAAATAGTGATTATTTTTCAATAACTTGATAAATATTGGCTATTTTTCGATTACAAATCTGAAAACTGGCTAGCCCATGCTATTTTCGCATAATTAATTTGTCTTAAAGGAATTTTGGAAACACATTTGACCAACCCAAGGTATAATGTATTCTTAACAACAAAGCTCAATTCCAATTACTTGTTGTGGCACGTTTGAATCATTTGATTTCATTAAATTATGTTTTTTTCTAAGTCAACATCAATTCCAATTGACTGGACGACATTTAAGATAATTTGATTTCATGTATAATCATCCACTTTAGTAACAATAATAACACACTCAATATAATCTCATAGGTGGGATTTGGAAAGAATAGTGTGTACAATCAAATCTATAACAACATCTCTATATTACAGTCATTCACTATAAAGGTCAAGTTTTTCTCGGAACCGATTTTTATGTTATGTTATAACATATGTCTTCTATAACAACACTTCACTAAAGCAGCCAAAAAATATTAGAACAAACGGGACTTTTATAAAGAGGTTCCACTATACCTAAACCTTACCCTACCTTGAAAAGGTAGAGATGTTGTTTCCAATAGCCTTTGGGCTCAATGATGGGACAAATTCAAAAATAGCCAGATTTACAACTGATCGTTCAAAAATAGACCAGTTTCAAAAGTAATCAAAATTTAGCTACTTTTCATGTAAAGATAAATCTGAACGAAAACATTGTACAAAACCCGGAAAATACGCCAGTATATTATACTGGAGTTCCAGCATTAGTATGCTTGAACTCCAGCATATTATACTGGAGTTCCAGCATAAGTACACTAGAACCCCGGCATAATATACTGGAGTTCCAGAAAGTATAATTGTCCAGTATAATATACTGGAGTTTGGAGCATCGGTGCTCCAGTCTCTAGTATATTATACTGGAGTCAGCAAAGTATACCGGTCCAGCATAATATGGTGAAGTTCATACACATGTGCACCGAATTCCAGTATATTATGCTGAACCGGTCTCTGTTACAGCAAAATAGTGGTTATTTTTCAATGACTTCGTAAACGCTGGCTATTTTTGAATGACCAGTCCGAAAACTGGTTATACCGTGCTATTTCTCCATAAAAAAAAGTAGCAGTAAGCAGTAACAACATCAAGATAATAAGAAACCGAAGTGAAAGAAATAGAAGTTATTAATAGAAATTTAAGAATAAGAAAATACTAAACTAACACTAATACTAATAGCATGGAAAAGGAAAACGCTTCTATGGGTGCTACTTGAGATCGATAACAACCGCGTCTATCCCAAATCATTTGATGCGGACAACAACAACAACATACCCAGTATAATCTCACATAGTGAAGTCTGTGGAGGGTAGTGTGTACGCAGACCTTATCCCTACCCTGTGGAGGTAGAGAGGCTATTTCCAATCAGTGGTGAAGCTAGAAATTTTTTCAAGGGTATTCAAATTTGAAAAAAAGTGAAAAAAAATTCCATACTAAGGGTGTTCAATATGTTTTATATACCCCTAAAACATAATATTTTACTATATATGCAGTACAATTTTTTAACGAAGGGTGGTCTGACTATGTGACTTCGCCATTGTTTCCAATAGACTCTCGGCTAAATCATTTGATGCGTAAAACTCTCAAAATCAGATGGTCTATTTTCTAGCAACATCTTCAAAATTGAAAGGAGAAATGGAAATATAATATAGATTTGGTAGTAGCCAACCGCAACCAAACCAATGTAGTGGATTAGGTAGTTTGGTCTTGAATTAGTATTTGGCTCAGTCTACTAAGTTTAATGTGAAAGTTGTTAAGACTCTTAGGTAAAGATCACTCAACTGAATTAAGCTAAACACACGTTTGCAGTGCTCAATTAGTCATCGAGGTAACCTTGACAACAACTTCATAAATAATTGACTTCGAAAATGTTTAAAGGATGACTAATCTTTTGATAATGATGTCATTAGAAGTTGAATAAAATTATAAAGAGGCCACACATTCGCATGAATTATTTTGATGATTATAACAAAAGAAAAAGTTACATATATATGTGAGCCTTGGCGCAACGGTAAGAATTGCCGCTGTGTGGTCACGAGTTCAAGTCGTGGAAATAATATCTTGCAGAAATACAATACAAAGTAAGATTACATACAATAGATCCAATGTGATCTGACCTTTTCAAGGACACTACACAGAGTATGAACTTAGTGCATCGGGTTGCCCTTCATACCTTTTCTATTATAACATTTCAATGAAACTAGTCCACAGGTAAGCAAAACCAAAATAAGAAACCAAGAGAAATGTGTATTAGCTATTTCTCAGAACTATACATGGATGTATAAATATTGTACACTGCAACCAAAGTATTTCGTAACTAATGAATGACCTCATTTGTTGATCACTATACTGGACAATAAAAGAATCTTACAAATCAAATTAGAAGGGCCAGGGCGGGAAAATTGCAAAATGGCCAACCTCCATTTCTGTTAGTAATCAAAACCTGCGAAAGAACAAAGAAGATAAGCAATGCACACAGTTATGCTTATGTTTACTCAATCTGTGCATTCTTTTTCTGCAGCCTTCCTTTCAAATTCCTAATTTTGGCATCTACTCGTGCTGTGAAACCGATATTTGTCTTCTGTCTTGCTTTAGTTTGCTGTCTCTTCCACATACGCTCATCTTTAACGTCTTTCTTATAATACTTGATTTCTTGAATAATGTGATGATCCATCGGATGGAACGATCTCTGGAAAGCTATGTGGGCAAGGTAAGGCAAAATGCAGGCTAAAGTTACAACGAGGGTGGTACACCAATAGATTGGCGATGGACCTAACTCTTCCTGCAGGATTCTGAAGGCATATTTAGCATAATCTGGTAATATCATACCGTAGAGTACAAGAGATAGGTACCAAACAGCTATGCTCCCCCAAATAAAAACATGTTGTATCCATGTGAAATGGCTCATTGTGAGCGCGATCTGGCAGTTGACAGCCCAGATGATGCAGGTAAACATTGAAGTACCAAGAATAGTCAAATCAGCAGTCTGGCCTTCAGCGCAGAATGCTTGATCATAGAAGAACATAATGTTGAGGAAGAAAATTACGAGGGAGGTGTAGACACCGTTGCCAAGCCAGCCAATTATTCTATACCAGTCAAAGAACAAGTTTTTGGGTCCTTGCTGGTACAGTGCAGGAAACTGCAAGAGGGCATTAAGGTTCTATAAAATTACGGACCTACACCATTACTTTTTAATTTGATAGGAATTCCAAGAGAAAGTTATTGGCGGAGGACTCACCTGTAAGCAAATTTCAGAAGACACGTCCTGCTCGAATACTCCGAGTGCAATTACAGGCAGTGAGGTAAGAAGCACATTGAACAGAATCATATACATATCATTATAGACCGACTGTCCAGAAAATCCAGCGAAAACCTCAAAGTAAAAAAGTGTGAGGCCAAAAGCTATATTCTTATAGAAGAAGTAGCATATCTGCACACAGAAGATAATGGTGCATATTAGATGAAATTTGTAAAAGGATCAAAGAAATGTAGTGCTTAATTGTTTTCTTGTATCTGATGAGGACATTTTATATTATCAGGCCACAGATGTATTTCATGTTCTATGCATAAAACGAAACAGATATATACACAATTACCATCTGAGCAATTCGTTTGTAGCACCAGTGCCCATGTACAACGAGAAGTCGCTCCAAGAACCGAAACTGTGCAACAGCAAAATCACTAGCCATCACTGCCTGCAAGAAGCTGATAACCATTTAAGCGGAGCTACAGCAAGAGGATATATACTCGGCAACATGGAAACGTGGCCTTAATTCATTCCTCAAGAATCAAGAATGATGTAAGCATCCTTTTAAACTATTCAAGTAACCTTTTTGTTTTGATAAGTGAAACATTTTTTCTAGAACCTTTTTCTTTTTAATAAGTGAGATGTTTTTTCTCAATAACCTTTCTTTTTGATAAGTGAAATGTTTGAGTAAACTGTTGTTAACTTCTAATTACAACATTGATCTACTAAGGCAAATGAATCGAGTATGATCTTCTGTCCAAGAAGAATGTAAAGTTGCTTTTAATAGACTAATACGCCAAAAGACCCGCTAAACCCATCACCAACCTGCATTCCTTCTGCACCGCTAATGCCAACACCAATGTCTGCTTCTTGAATCATCCCAACATCATTTGCACCATCACCAATTCCTAGAGTGATTTTTCCAGTTCCCTCCTTCACTAACCTGGTTACCTGAAAAAATATGAATAAGCTCAACTTACGAAGGATAGTCGGGATACAATTGAAAAGGCAAATCAAGTTTGACATTATCTTACCAAAGCCTTCTGCTTAGGAG